CCCCTCTCGGAAAGATAGATAAACATCGACAAAGAAATAAATAAACAAACAAACAAAACAAGCACATTAATTAATTAATTAATTAATTAATTAAATTGTAATAATTCTACGAAGTCAACCATCATCCCATATATACGCTCGTTTCATGAAGCAGCCCGCAGCAGCAGCACTGTTGCAGCATCAGCATACACTGCAGCAGCAGCATCCACTGTAGCAGCAGCATCCACTGCAGCAGTAGCAGCAGCTACAGCACCAGCAGCATCACCATCCAATGCAGAAGCATCAGCATCCACTGCACCAGCAACATCCACTGCAGCAGCAGCAGCAGCAGCAGCAGCAGCAGTAAGCGCTTGCCTGGGCGTTCCCCTAAGTATACGATAAGGACGGCCCTTTTAGCGAGTTGTCCACCTACAGCACTTCTTAAATATGTTTTTGTAAGATCATCAAATCGTTTTACAACTTCTGCTCCAAAGGAAGCACTAGTTGCAACAACAAGAGCTTCTTGCGAGGGGGGAGCAATGACAGGCAGCAGGCGCCCAGTCAACAGGCTGTGCTGCTGCTGCTGCTGCTGCTGGTGCTGCACGTCTCCCGCGTGGCTCAGCCTCCCAGAGGCCCCTTCATTGCCGCGCCCCGCAATCCCTCCCCCCCGGTTGCTGCTGCTGCTGCTGCTGCTGCTGCTGCTGCTGTTGCTGCTGCTGCTGCTCGCTGGTGGAGCTGTAGCTATCTGTGCACGCCGAAGCAGAACTTCTGTATTGACGCTCTGTACCTGCACTACAGCATATGCATCTCTATCATTTTCATGCGCTAACTCGTCGATTATAATCTCTAAAAGCCTCATAGACGGAACAAGATGATACTGGCTGTACAGCCAGTCAGACATATCGGCTGCTGTCTGCGTTACTATGAACACAGGCAAGCTGCATGCACACAAACAAACAAATATAAATAAATAATTAATAAATATATATCTATAAAAACCCCACAGCAACAAGCAATACAAGTCTACCCAGGAGACAACCTGCTGCTCCCTGCATCCTTGCGTGTGCAGCAGCAGCAGCAGCAGCAACAGCCACTATCCAGCTGAGAAGGCTTTGCACGAGAGAAACACCCTCCTGCTGCTTCGCCTCCTCTTCCTGCTGTTGCTGTTGCTGTTACTGCTCCTGCTACTATTGCTGGCCTTTCTGCTCCTACTGCTGCTGCTGCTGCTGGTGGTGCAACAACAGCAACAGCAGCAGTAGCAACAACAACAGCAGCAGCAGCAGCAGCAACAGCAGCAGCAGCAAGAGCAGACGCCTCACAAGTAAGCATTAATTCTTCTTGACATCCTGACCATGAATTCTTGCCTAACCACTTCGAAGGAGTAATCAGCGAAAACATCGGAGAAGTCAACGACAGCAACGCCTTTTTTTTTAAGTTGACTTATAATTTCAGTGATGATTCGATCTGTTGCTGCCTCATCAAGGCGGTGCTGATTATATTCCCGTTGCACCTCCTCTACCTTTGCTGCAGCAAGCTCTCGAAGCCTCTCCGCAAGCAAATGATAGCTGCTAGCAGATGTTTCTTGTGCTGCAGCAACTGCTGCCTTCAGCTGCTCCTGCAAACTATCCTCCAGAGAAGTATAAGACGCGTTCAGGTGCTGCACCTCACGTGCTGTCTGTACACCCCATATACACAAGCAGAAGAAGCAGCAGCAGTAGCAGCAGTAGCAGCAGCAACAGCAGCAGCAAGGGAGCATATAAAAAACCAACAAGGCAAGGCAAGAAATGCGCAACTAGCAAAAGATGTACACCAGTCATCTTAAACAACACAAGCAAACAAAACAAACGAACAAAATGCATGCAGCATAACGCAAGCAACAAATAATAGGAATAAAGATGAGACCCTCATTGTCTCCTCATTAAGACAGCAGAAAAAACGACAGCCATTCGAACCTTGAACAAGCCTAAAGAGACAGCAGCAGCAAGTGCTGCAGCAGCAGCAACAGCAGCAGCAACTACAGCAGCAGCAAGTGCAGCAGCAGCTACAGCAGCAGCAAGTGCAGCGACAACTGCAGCAGCAGCAACTTCAGCAGCAGCATCAAGTGCAGCAGCATCAAGTACAGCAGCATCAAGTAGAGCAGCAGCATCAAGTGCAGCAGCATCAAGTACAGCAGCAGCATCTGCACGGGGTGCAGCAGCAAGTATATCTCACAGCCTCTTGGCTTTGCTGCAGTTCTACGAGCCGTCTACGCAGGTCATTCTGGGCAGCATAGAGAGGCATAAAACGATGAGCTGCTGTTATTCTCCCCAACTCCCTGACAAGCCTCCGCACTTCGCTTGCATGCACTGCGCGAAGCCCCCCTACGCCTAGACGCACTTCTACAGCCAGTCGGTGCAGCTCTGCTGCAGATGCGTCTGAACGCATACACAAATACATATGTATATATATATTTGTATATATATATATATATATGTATATGTATGTGTATATATATACGTATATATGAATGCATGCATGCGTGTATGCATGCCTACAACGCTAATATCCCACTGGATGCATGCATGCATCCATACCTGCACGCATGCATTCGACGTTAACTCCCTGCATGCATGCATTCGATTTTAACTCCCTGAGTGCATGCATACAGCCCCAATGCATGCATGCATGCATGCATGCATTGGGGCTGTATGCATGCGGCATTTTGTTTGCTTACTGAGTCTTTGTTCAAGGCTTTCTGCTTTTGCTTCGCATGCATCTTTATAAGTATTAAAGTCTTTCACCAGCTTGTTTGCTGCTGCTGATGCAGCAGCAGCAGCAGCAGCAATATCCTCAACGAGAGTTATCAAATCTCGCTCTGAATCGATGCCCTTATCCACAGCGGCCTCTGCTGCTGCTGCTGCTTCATTTGATGGCTGCTCATCAGCATCACCCACGCTGCCCGCTGCATCACGCCCTGCTGCTGCTGCTGCTGCTGCTGCTTGAGGCTTTGCCACCGTTGCAAGTGTCTCAGATTCTGCTTCTGCTGCTGCTACTGCTGCTGCAGGCTCTTCTGCTTCAGTTGTGTGCTTTTCTGCTTCAGGAGGGCTCGCTGTTGCTGCTGCCGCTGCCGTTTCCGCTGCTGCTGCTTCGCTGCCGTTTCCGCTGCTGCTGCTTCTGCTGCTGCTGTAGCACCTTGCGCGGATTCTTCTTTATCTACATCTCCCTCCTTCCCCTCGCTTGAGGTGGGGAGCCCTGAGGGAGCTGCTAAGGCTGCAGCAGCTCCAGGCCATTGCCACTGTTGATGCTGCTGCTGCTGCAGCTGCTGCTGCTGTTGCGGACGCGGAAGGAGCGCAAGCAGCAGCAGCAGCACTGTCAGGAGCAGCAACTGCTGCAGCAAGCGCGCATGCGCCCGCCCCCGCGGCTGCAGCACAGCAGCAGGATATAAACCCATTGAGGGGTAAACAGCTTAATTTATTTGCTGCTGCACACTGCCCTCTGTCTGTACACCTCAGAACAGTACAACTATCAAATATTTCTTACAGCGCTCCCCCATCGAAACAGGCGATTAGCTGCAGCTGTGCAACCTGCATTGCATGCATGCCAGCTGCAGCAGCTGCTGCTGCTGCTGCAGCAGCTTTGCCTGCTGCTGCAGCCACTGCAACAGCTGCAGGAAGAGCAGCAAAAGCTGCGACAGCTGCTGCTGAGTCTGTTCGAAGCCGCAACACGGCCCGAACAAAATGAAGAAGAAGAAAGCGATGACTTCCCCTGAACGCTCGCTGGAAACTCCCCTTCTCTGCAGTGTACGTACACCTCAGATGGGGCTAAAAAACTACTGCTGCTGCTGATGCTGCTGCTGGTGCAGCTGCTGGTGGTGCTGCTGCTGTTGCTGCTGGTGCTGCTGCTGTTGTTGGCGCTGCTGCTCCAACACGAGGGAGACGAACTGTTCCACACCCCGATATGCCTGTCGCTGCTGCAGCGTCTGCTGCAGCCTCTGCTGCAGCAGGGGGCTGGGGTGGGCAGTTGCTGCTGCTGCTGCTGCTGCTGTTATTCCTTTTTTGTCATATAAAGAGGCAGCAGAATGCAAAAGCGCAAGGTCTACATAATGCAAATGCTGATGTGCTGCTGCTGCTGCTGCTGCTGCTGCTGTTGCAGCTGCTGCTGCACGCGTTTGTATTTCTCTGTTACTCGGTGCCTTCTTCCCTACTGCGCCCGCAGCAGCTGCTGCTACTTATTCGTTTCTTTTAAAATGATTAAATGAGTTGTATATATATTTTATTGTTTGTTTTTGGTTTATTTGTTTGCTGCTTCAAAGCTGCTGCTGCTGCTGCTGCCTCCGCAACAAAGCAGCAGCGCAGATGAAACACCTAAGGCACCCGCCAGCAATTCACAGAAGGCGCTCCCTGAACTTCTTTGTTATTTTTTGTTTTTTCTTCTTCCTGCCTTTGTTTTTATTTATCATTAGGGCTAAATACAAGTAGATTTAAAAATTTATCTCCATTTTAAATGAAGATACACCCCAATAACTCTGCTGCTGCACAGCAGCAGCAGCAGCAAACAGCTCGCAGCAAACAGCAGAGCGCATCATCGACTCCAACAGCCGCACAACAGGAGTCCAGCAAACGAGGCTGCAGCAACAATTAAATTAATAATTTCTTTTTAATTAATTATATTTTATTGCTACTCATTCAACTCTTGCTTAATACTCAAATATTAACAGAGGATATTGCTTAACCGTGCGGTTACTGCTACCGGTACTGTGTATGCGGATCGTGAAAGCTGCAGCAGGAGCAGCAGCAGCAAACAGCAGCAGCTGCTGCTGCTGATTAAAAAAACCTTCTTTTAATCTATTTTTACAGCCAAAGACAAACGCATTAAAGGCTTAAAACCCTCAGCAAAGAGTTGGTGTATGTAACGAGAAGGCCCCCTAAGGAAGCTGCTAAAGTTCAGTATGCGGTATATATATATGAAATATATTTCAATTAAAAATAAATATTTGCTTTAAATGAAACAAAATTTTGCCCCTCATGTTGCTGCGTAAAGAATGTATATACATATATATATACATTTATATATATATGTATATATATATAATACCCCCAGGATGAGGATTCATTTAATACTACTAAAGAATTTTTTTAAACTAGAGTTTATATGTACGCACAGCTCCTGTATATTATATATATATTATATATATACATATATGTACATGTACATATGCATATACATTTTCTTCTGCAGCAAAAAGAGGATTGCCTGAGGCTGCTGAGGATGGGTAGAGAGTAAGAGAGATGCTGTTTCATTATTAGCTGCAGCAGCAGCAGCAGCAAAACTGGCTGCTGCTGCTGTTGCCTTTTGCTGCTGCAAAGGCAGCAGCAGCAGCCCCACATGTTTATGCAGAAGCAGACGAGTAAACAAGACTCGTCTTAACTGCATGCACTCGCAGCAATCTGCAGATAATAAATATTAAAATAATTTTCATTAAGATTCTCTCTTCGCTTCTACGCCCAAGCCGCATGCAAGTGGGGACGCAAGCATTAACAACTTTAAAAAGACAGCCGCAAACTGAGCTGCAGCAGCAGCACTGCAGCAGCAACACTGCAGCAACCGCGGCTTAGACGTCCCCGAGGGCAACAGTCGGATAACTGCAGCTCCCTCTTGGTGCTGCTTCTGCTTTTGCTGCTGCTGCTGTTCTTGCTGCTGCTGTTGCTTCTGTTGCTGCTCCGGTTAGACCACGCACAAAGCGAATCCCTAAAGTAGGCAGACCCCCGCAGCCAGCAAATTCGCTAGTCAGCCAGCTAGCTAGCTACCTGCCTAACTAACTAGCTAGCTAGCTAACCAGCTAGCTAGCTAGCTAGCTAGCTGTTGGAGTTAAGGAATTGCAGAAGAGAGACGAAGACGCTGCGAGATCGAGAAAGAGGAAAGAAATAAACAAATCTTAAAAAAACGAAAAAAAGAATTAAACCATAAGGCAGATATCGAAGAGCAAAGTGAAAGACAGATGGAAATGCATGCATGCATGCATGCATGCATGCATGCACAGCTTAGTTGTCTGCTTTTTTCTGTTTATTTTTCTTCTGTCTCTCCATTGTCTTCTCCTCTATTGCCATTCTTAGGGTGTCTTTGAGGGCGCGCTGCCGGTGGGGGGTATTTTTGCTGCTGCTGCTGCTGTTGCTGCCGGTGTAGCTGGCAGCAGCAGCAGCAGCAGCAGCACGAAACGCCTTTTTTGCTGCTGCTGCTGCAGCATCTCCGCACCCGTGCCTTTCTGGTAGTTTATGCTGCAAGCAGAAGCAGCAGCAGCAAAATCTGCAATTACCCCCTAAGACCCATGCTTTCTCTTTGCACGTTTTGAGAGAGCAGTAGTTTGCTGCTGCTTTAAACTCCTGCAGCACAGCGTCAATATCTTCTTCGTCCATCTCTTCTGCCTTCAACGCCTTCCTGCCTCGCTGTCGCTCTCCTGCTGCTGCTCCTGCTGCTGTTCCTGCTGCTGCTGCTGCGGTTTGCTGCGAGGACGCAGGCAGCAAATCTCCTTTCTTCTTCGAGACCCATATATCTTTCTTCGCATATATTTTGTTGTTTTTCGTTTGTCTTGCTGCAGCTGGCTGTCTATTTGTTGTTTTTGCTGTTGCTGGTGCTGCTCCTCCTGATGCTGCCGCTCCCGCCCCTCCTACGGCTGCTCCTGCTGCTGCTCTAGCTGCTGCTGCTGCTGCTGCTGCTGGCTTCCTTTCAGTTGCTGCTTGCGGTTGCTGCGCTGTATTCGCCTCTGAAGCCCCAAGAAGTCCATCCTCTCGTTTTTCCGTTCCTTCTGCTGCTGCAGCATCTGCTGCTGCAGCATCTGCTGCTGCAGCATCTGCTGCTGCAGCATCTGCTGCTGCAGCTGTTTTTCCTGCTTCACCTGGCTTCGCCGAGGTTTCCTTCTGTGCTGCTGCTGGCGTCTCTGCTGTTTCTGCTGCTGCAGCAGAAACAGCTCCACTAGAGACCTCTTCTGTGTACGTCGCCTTCTTAGGCGATCCTTCCCCCCCTTCGCTTTGCTGCTGCTCTTGCTGCTGTTGCTGCTGCTGTTGCTGCTGCTGTTGCTGCTGCTTTGGTTGCTGCAACCACCCACTCGGAGATTTAGGCCGTTCTGAACGCACCTCAGTAGAAGGAACTCCTGCTGCTGCAGGTGAAGCTGCTGCTGCTGATGAAGCATCACCCGCTGCTGCTGCTGTTGGTGCTGCTGCTGCGGCTGCAGTTGCTGCTGTTTCCGTTGAGGCCCGGGTGCCTTCTTTTTGTGTAATGAAAGGCACTTCTTTAGCAGCGTCCGCTGCAGATCCTTTTTTGTTTTTTCTGCTTTTGTTTTTGCTGCTGCTGCTGCTGCTGCTTTTGCTGCTGGTTTGTGTGGGCTTCTGCTGCTGCTGCCGAGCTGTCCAGCCTCCCGCTGCTGCTGCTGCATTACCTGTTAAAGGGGGTATATCTGTTATAGAAATAAATTCACAGGGCACGCGAAGACAGCCAGTTGAAGACGCCATAGAATATAAAACCTTCAACGCCTCTCGCGCATCAGGAACCCTAACCCCCTCACCCTCCTCCCTGCTGCTGCTGCTGCTACTGCTTTCCTTGCTGCTGCTGCTGCTGCTGCTGCTGTTTTCGCTGCTGCTGCTGCTGCTGCTGCTGCTGCTGGAGTTTTGTTTGCTTGTAGCGGTGACGGTTTCGCTGTTGCCGATGATAACGAGGTGCGTCTTTGCTCTCGTTACCCCAACATTTAATCGTCTTGAGTCTGCTAGAAAGCCAATTTCTTTTTTAATGTTGCTGCGGACGAGAGAAATAATAATAACTTCTTTTTCTCTTCCTTGAAAGCCGTCTACTGTCTGTACAGCGACAGCCCTCAAGTCTCCTGCATCACTACCATCTGCTGCTGCTGGTTTTGCTGCTGCTGCTGCTGCTGCTTCTTCTGCTGCGTCCTGAAGCAGGCTGCGGATAAGCTTAGCCTGCGCATTATAAGGAGTAATGATTCCAACTTCTGCTGCATGCACGCCATAGTCATAAACCAACTGAGAAACATATTTGCATGCAAGAGCTGCTTCTCCTCGGTTTGTACGCGAGGGCCTCAACACCCCACAAGCAGCAGCAGAAGCAGCAGCATCAGCAGCAGCAGCAGCAGGATTGTCCTGCGGCAGCTCGTCTTCCTGCATCCAGCAAATCCCCGCAGTGTCAATCCACACAATGGGAGGCAGCAATTCATCTGCAGCAGCAGCAGCAGAGTAGACATCTTTAAGAGTTTTATGTTTGTTTGCTTCTGCTGCTACCAGCGTATTGCTGTAAAAGAGAGCGCTGCTCCAATTCATAATATCTTCATGCATGCGGTACTGCAGCACCAGCTGCTGCGTAATACAACAACCCCACCGCTGTGCTAGCCTCTCTAACAGAGACACAGAGAGGCCGCCACGCTGCGCTTTCATACTCTTTACTGTTGGAGGAAGCTGCATGTGGTCTCCAGCCAGCACACAACGCCTACCCAGCAGCAGAGGCGTCCAGCAGCAGCACTCTAACGCCTGAGTTAAAGCAGCAGCAGCAGCAACAGCAACAGCAACAGCAAAACAAAAGCAAAAACATAAAGATAGTAAACGAAATCAATGCGCACAAGAGATGAGAGAGAGAGACAGAGACAGAGACAAAGAGAGAGAACCAGAAAAAGAAAGAGAGAGAAATATATCAAAAAGAAACAGAGTTAAGACACACCAACACTGCAATGCATATAAAGCACTTGTTCAACAAACTGCATGCGTTGATTTGTATATAAATATTTTATTTATTTAAGAGCAGCGAGAGAAACAAGAAGACATAAAAAAAGAAATTTATTGTGTGTCTCCTCAATCACTCTATACCTGTGCAGCCTCATCTATAACAACAACATCAAAGGGCTGCCTCTGCTCGCCGCTGCTGCTGCTGCTGCTGCTGCTGCTGCTGCTGCCAAGAACAAGCTCCTGCAGTGGATAGAAGCCCGCGCCAGTGCACGTGGAGAAGACGATGGGGGCTTCTTTAAGAACCTCAGCAACAGCATTTTTTTGCAATTCTTTTAAATCTTTTTTCAGCTTCCTCATCTCCTGAACCAGCTTGCGTTCCTGGCTCTTTACCTCCGCCCGTCCGTGCTGCTGCTGCTGCTGCTGCTGCTGGTTTTGCTGCTTTTGCTGACGCTGTGCAGCAGCAGCAGCAGCAGCAGGGTTTTTCTGTAGGGTTCGGAGCTGCCGCATGCTTTTATCTATAGATTCTTTAACTCCCTTTGCTACGAGAGAGGCATCGCTGTTGACTGCATGTTTATCAAGACAGAAAGAAGTAAGCTGTTCATCTATTCTTGCAGGATGCCCTAATCGAATGCATTTCTTAATTTGTTTCAAAAGAAGTGGATCTTGACTCTTCTTTACTCCCGCTAATACCCTCTCTAGCATGTTGTCTACAGCTATATTGCTGGGGGCACAGGCTAATACCCTGAAGCCTCCAGCCAGCAGCTGCAGCAGCAATTCAACTACTGTTGTTGTCTTTCCTGTACCTGGGGGCCCATGAATGATTGCAACATCTAAAGAGAGCAAACTGAGATAAACTGCCTTCTGCTGCTCTTCTGTTAAATCTCCTCGAAACCAATCCCTCCATATACACCCCGTATTCACTCGTGATGGATCTAGCTGCTTCTGCACTTCTCTCCAGTCATGCAGCAGCTCCTGCCGTTGTGCTGCTTCTGCTGCTGCTTCTGCTGCTGCTGCTGCTGGTGCTGCTGCTGCATGTACCCCTTTCACGCTGGGAGCTCCTTTAAGGCCCCTTCTCTCCGCTCGTACTGCCTGAGATAAAGGCAAGAAACGAGGAGAAGAACCCCCGAAAGAAACATTAATTATATTCCAAGCAGGGCTAGTGCTGGGTGAAGCCGCTCTGAGCCCCTCGAGCGCATCGCGCTGTCTTTCGATGGTAACAGCATTTGATATTAAACAAAGATTAAAAACTTCCCCTAAAGCACCTTCAGAAGCTTCAGACAACCATTTTAAATCCTTTTCTTCCTCGAATGCAACGCAAACTCCGCCCACCACAAGGCGGTGTACTACACCAGAAGTTGCTGCACTTTCGCTCCCATATATCGGTTGTTCAAAGGGAAACACTCCAACGATATCCCCAGGAGATAGACGATGCTCAAGCTGCTCCCCCTGTTGCTTCTCCCGCTCTTGCTGCTGTTCCTGCTGCTGCTTGTTGCTGCCATGCATGCGCTGCAGCGCCACTCGCTTAGAAGTGAAGGTAACGATAGTCCGCCCGAAAAGACCTGAACTAACATCTGTCACCACTAAGCGGGGAAATGCGAGGCCAGCAGCGGCCAACTCATCCAATGTTAGGGTCTTCAGTAGCTGTTCAAGTTCGCCCTTTTCTGCATCTGCTTCCTCTTCTAACAGCGCCTCCTGCCGCGCTGTGAATTTATTTATGGCCTCATCCATGGCGGTAATAAATACGAAATTGCAAAACAAATGCGTTCAACTCATCTGCATGCAACTGCGCTTCTGAAGTTGTATTCCTTACTTCAGTCGGCCGCACACGATCTGTTCGCAGGAGTGCAGAGCCACCGCGCCTTTGTCTGCAAATAAAAAGGGCGATCTTTCAGGAAATTGAATTCGCAAAAGAAAAATAAGAATATTTGTCCAAGAGATATTGCAAAAGCAACAGAAGATTTGCCTCAACTGCGCTGCATTAGCTCAGCGTGAAGAAGAAACTTGAATCGGAGGACCGCTCCGTGCAGTGGCTCTGAAGTAAGAAAAAGTGCGGGAAAAGTAGTCAAACTTCAAAAATATCATCAAATAACTAATTTAATTAGTTTTATCGTTTTAAAAACCCACCCCTTTTTCGTTTTTTCATAAGAGAAGCCCCTGATCTGCCCCGGACATCATGTACTGAAAAGTCTGTGCTGTGCGTAAGATGTATGGACTCTTCTCGAAACCCTGTGAATATTCCCTAAATAATCAAATAGTATTCCTCAACATATATTCAATTCCACTACTTTAAAAGGGAAAACAGAAGAATAAATTATCTTACCCCCGAACTCTGTACCCAGCCTCAGCATCAGCCTCACAGACAGCCCCAGCCTTATGCGGATGCCGAGCATTCTTAGCTGAAAAAACGAATATACTATTAATTAATATAAATTGAGTTACTTTAGATATAAAACAATCACAACTTAGCAAACTAAGCCTCTAGAGGTTTCATTTAAGCTCCAGTACAATCCCTGTGTAGCCCAGATCCTCTTCTATGGCGTTGAAACATAAATATTGTTGTATTTTCGTCCCGTGTTTTCTTTTTTACTCTCATACTAAAGTATTATTAATTTGTTTTATTTTCAGTTTTAATTTTTATGTCTAATTTCCTTAGTGAGCACCTGCTCAATACAAACACCGCAGCGCTGCACCGTACTTGAGGAAGAGGGGGGCTGCTATATTCGTTAAGTATAAATAAATAAATTATGCAGAGGAGTGTTGGAGTTAAATAAACTAAAAATGAATAAATTACAATTTAAATATGAAGGATATTCTATTTACTTGTTGCGGGCACAGACAGACAGAGATTTCTACATCCGCCTACACCATCACAGTTCTTAGAACACAGCTTATATATATATATATATATATATATATATATAATACATAATATAATATATATATATATATAAGGTATGGAAATATATAGTTCTTGTCTTATTGGAGGTGTTTGTGTTGCATGCGTTCTTCAGCGTTGTCTGAGCAGCAAAAGAAAATAAAGAGTTGAGAGAAAAGCAAAAGGTAATAATTTGCTGTTTATTGACGCCGCCACTATTCAAACAGACAAAACCTAAAAAAGAAATCGCCGCTGAAGACGCCCCTACTGACGGTGCTTCAACCTCTGCATGCGCTGCATGCATGCAGTTGGATGCAATGCATGCGGTGCTTGCATATAAACACACTCATTGCATGCATGCGCTGCATGCATGCGTTCAATGCATCGTTGGATGCGTTGAATGCATCCGCTTGTAAGCATGAGCTGCATGCATAAACTTGCATGCATGCGTTGCATGCATACACTTGAATGCATTGTATGCATTGCATGCAGTGCATGCAATGCTTGCATACACTTAAATGCGCTGCATGCGCTGCATGCATTGCATGCATTGCATGCATTGCATGCGCTGCATGCATTGAGTGAAGCTGCAAAAGAAGAAGTGAAGCGAATTTCTTTTTAGTTTGTCTTTTTCTTCTTCAATTACCTCAAATGTCTCTTCTCAAGAAAGGAGAGCATTCGCCACCATGTCCGGCTGCACACAAACCCTAAACCCTAAACCCTAAACCCTACAAAAACCCTAAACCCTAAAACCCCTGACCCTTTTCAAATGCGTGTGCATACACCCCAACCAAACCCCAGGGTAGCAAGAGATATATGCATGCATGCATGCGTGCATGCAGGCATTTGTGTTTATTCGGCGTAGGTTGTATATCTGCTCCTGCTGCTGCTGCTACTGCTGAGCTGTATATCTGCTGCTGCTACTGTACATCTACTGCTTCTGTTGTGCTGTATATCTGCTGTTGCTACTGCGCTGTATATCTGCTGCTGCTATACTGCATGCATGCATGCATGCATGCATGCATTTCTCACGTTGAGTTTTTTTAAGTTTCCGTATTTTTGTCCGGTGCCGACGAAGACGATTGGCTGCCCCGTAATATACGCCATACTTAATGCAGCACCCACCTGCAAACAAACAGTGCAGCAGCAGCAGCAGCAGCAGCAGCAGATATACACAGCAACAGCAGCAGATATAGAGCAGCAGCAGCAGCAGCAGCAGACATAACAGCGCAGCAGCAGCATGCATGCAACAATGTGCATGCATGCATTTATCTGCATGCACGCATTTAAATTATTTACCTTATCATCGACGGTGTCGAACTTTGTCAACAAAATGCCGTCAATTAAACGCGGGGTGGAACCCTGAAAAAACAAAAGGAGACAGCAGCAGCAAATACAGCAGCAGCAAAGAGCAGCAGCAGCAGCAGCAAAGACAGCAGCAGCAGCAGCAAAGAGAGCAGCAGCAAAAGGAGTTAGAGAAAAGATAAATTAATTTATTTTAAATACAGCAAACAAAGAAAGACAGAAGAAAAAAGAAACATCATTCGTATTATGATGCACTGTACACTCAAAACGCAAGGGCCAGGTGCAGCAGCAGCAACAGCATCATCCCCAGTAGCAGCAACAGCAACAGCAGCAACAACAGCAACAGCAGCAACAGCAACAGCAACAGCAGTAACAGCATCATCCCCAGCAGCAACAACAGCAGCAACAACAGCAACAGCAACAACAGCAGCAACAACAGCAACAGCAACAACAGCAGCAACAGCAACAACAGCAGCAACAGCAGCAGCAACAGCAGCAGCAGCAGCAGCAGCAGAGGAATGTCTGACTTGTACAGAAGCATCAGCAATAGCTTGATTAAACTTTTTTAATTGATGTGCCGCGTCGTTGCCGACCAACGCCTCGCCGACAAACAAAATCAGGTCAGGATTATTCATATAAACAAGTTTGCCTAGCGAGCGCATCAGGGGGTCGTTATCCTGCACAAATAAATATAAATATATTATATTATATAATTATAATAATAATATCAAATAATAATAATATATCATATAAACAAGTCTGCCTAGAGAGCGCATCAGGGGGTCGTTATCCTGCACATATATAAATATATATACCTTATGAACACACAAATAAGTATATATATATATATATATATATATATAGAAATAAAGAAATATAATATATATATCTGCATGCACCCAGCAGTGTGTATGTATTTGTTTGGTGCAACAGATGCATTACTACAAATTAATATATTATAATAAATCTTATGCATATGAATATACAAAAAAAAAACACAAATAAGTATAGAAATGTATGCACATGCAAATAAATATTATCTATATAGTTTATTTATTTATTTAGTTATTTATTTAATTTATTTATTTATTTATTTATTTTATTTATTTATATACCTGCATGCGCCCAGCAGTGTCTATGAGGACAACATCTATTTGCTCTTCTTTAGCATATTTCAACGCCTCTTTGCAGATTGCTGCAGCATCTCTACCGTAGCCTCTCTCGAAGAGAGGTACGTCTAGACACCTGAAAATAAATAAAAAGAAGAAGAAAAGAAGTGTATTTGCTCTTTGTTTATGTTGGCGTCTCTTCATATCTTTATTGCTGCTCTTTAAGCTCTTAAAAAGCTGTTTATACACCCGAAATTCATAAATGCATGCGCTGTATAAATATACACAAATTTATACACACTATAAATAAATTAATACAATCAATAAATAAATGCATTAATAAATAAATGCATTAATAAGTAAATTCATCAATAAATAAACGCATGCATCAGTCAATAAATGCATGCAACACATGCATCAATAAACGCATGAATAAATGCATGCATGCGTGAGTAAATGCATGCATGCACAAACGTATGAATGCATGCATGCAAATGCACAAAAGCATGCATGCATGCATGCAAATGCACAAACGCATGCATGCATGCAAATGAGGGTAAGGCATCAAACCTTGCATGCGTTCTGAGCTGCTCCACAGCGCCCGCCCTGAAGGTGTCGCATGCAGCGATTAAAACCTTCAGCCCTCCTTTCTGCACACAGACCCTAAACCCTAAACCCTAAACCCTAAACCCTAAATCCTAAATCTTAAACCCTAAACGTACAATAAACCCTAAACCCTAAGCGTACAATAAACCCTGAATCCTAAACCCTAAATCTGCAATAAACCCTAAACCCTAAACCCTAAACCCTGAACCGTAAAGCATCAGGGCGCTTTATCTCAAGAGCAGCAGCGCATGCACGGATTGAGTTATAAGCAGATGAATGAAAGAAAAGAAGTAATAAAAAAGAGCTGCAGAGACACCTGCTTGAGATAAAAAGCAGTCTTCGCCAAATTTGTAGATTTGCCCACACCGTTCACCCCAACGAACACTATTGAAAAAACTCTTCCTTCTGCATGCGCTTGCAGGCATAAACGCAGCACATCGATCGCCCTGCATGCATGCAGCAGCAGCAGCAGCAGCAGCAGCAGCAAAGGGAGCAGCAGGGGGAGCAGCAGCAGCAGCAGAAGAAAAAAAAAAGAAAAGCAGCAGCAGCAGCAAAAACAGCAGCACAAGCAGCAGCAAATCACAACGCAGAAGGAAATATTAAAGCAGCAGCAAATAATCCAGCAGCTGCAACTGCAGCAGCAGCAACGCATATTGTAGCAGCAAACCATTAGGCAGCAGCAGCAACAACAGCAGCAGCAGCAGCACCGCATGCAGCAGCAGCAGCAGCAGCAGCAAACAAGCATATGAAAGAAAAGAAAAAGGGTGTAGTTCGTTCGATAGCAGAGCAAAACAAAATCACAAAAAGAAAAGTAAAAGACATTTGTTTAGAGGTGTTAATAAACAAACAATACAAACAAAAACATAAAAGAAAGACAGAGGCAAAAACAAACAAAAATATATTTAAAAATATAAAGCAAAGACGCACACAAAAAAATAAAGAACAAACAAACAAGACAGACACAAAGAAAAAGAGAGAGAGACATATATATATATATATATATATATAGATATATAGATATATATGATATAGATATAG